GGCAAAAACAGTATAATTGATGAAATTTATGCAAAAACTCATGTTTCTGTTTGCCCCTCCTTAAGGGTTCTCACAAAGGAAGGATTTTCAAAAATATGATGATGGCTTTGCGTTCGTCTAGAAAGAGAAGGAAAAATAACAAAAAGATATACGGAATAATTAAAGCACGCATTCCGTAGCAATAAAAAGTATGCATCACCGACTAACCTCAAAGGAGTACTCCTACGAGTAACCACACTTGAGAGCGGAGGTGGCAGTGGAGTACTACGAGCCTCACTCTTTTCCGACCTTCAAATAAGGACGTTTTCACAGAGCAATCAGAACTTACATTCTCCGAAACATTTGACAATAAAGGTAGGAATTCTAAAGAGAGAAGATGAATGACATACGTGGATTCCGAACTCGTTCGTGGTTTAGGTTGCCCACGAGCCCGAGCATGTTCCTGTACGGGGGCCGGGGACACGATAGACTGTGAACAGTTCCTTGCACGAATACGAGGCGAATATACAACAGAGGAGGGTGATTTGCATGGTGAGGGTGATCTGAAAGTCAGCAATTATGGAATGGTAGTGAGAGCACCAATTTCCGCATGGCTACGAAAACTATTAAAAATATGAAGATACATCACATCCGAGAACACTAGATATTGAACTTAATTTTCTTAACTTTACTTGCTAAAATACGGATTTGTTCTGATAGGTAGGTTTAATTTGTCGCAATCAAAATATTCTTCATGAGCTGTAATAACCTCTTCTATCTTTTCGAAACTAAAGATACAGTCGAGACGAGCCAATTTTACTGTGAATGGTGAATTGGCAATTTTTTGATGGTCAAGCGTTTTCTGCCATTGGCACCAAAACTACCAATTTTATTATATACTAATGGAACTTATGTTGAGAGATGTAGTGGGACGGAACATAACACCATAAGCTCCGACAAAAGTGTGAGCATAAATAGCTGATTTGTTCAAACCGTAAAGCAGAAAAATGGATCCCGAGAGTTGAATTCATTTTTGAGCGTTCCAAATGTTGCGTTTGTAAACGACAAACAAATCACTAACAGTGCAGAGAAAATTTCCATTTTATATAAACATGTAAGTACTTAGGTGTAAATGTTTATAATATTAACTAATGCCAACCATCAATCGATCCCGCAGATAAAAGCTCGTTCACAACGTAATATTTTCAACGACTCACCGAATACTACTCGCAGGAGACTTGAATGGTGACGGCGACTTGTATGGTGATACCACTCGAGGAATTTCATCAAACGTGTGATATTCATACTGCTGCATGATCGATTTCGAGCTAGAAGGCTTCGATGGTGGATTTGCCAGCTTTGGTTTCTCAGCTGATTCGTAATCCGTATCACGTAGAGCAGCAATGATCGCGCTATCACGAACGAACGCCTCTGGAAAAAGGTCGTATTGTAATTCTATTTCAAAAGAATCAAAGAGTACAAAACAGGGGTGCATCTCAGAAGTGCTGAGAATGGAGCTACCAGTGAGATCACAACAGCAACAGAAGTCATATGCAAAGCTAATCAAACAAGTACAGAGCGACCACGCGCTCTCTCCTCGCTAGGGAAGGAACAAAAGGGACACCCGTAAGCAGATAATAAGAACTAGAAAACAATGAAAACAACAATGTATATAAAACAAGCATGGGGTATAAAACCAACCGATATTGCCTTGTTTGACAAATTCCTTCTCTTCTTCAAGTTTTCGCTTCGCATACTCACCATCAAGATAGTTTCGTTCTTTCAGGCTTCTAGTGCGTTCTGATTAGGAGTCATCTCCAACAGCACAAAAACACATGCAGCGGAAAAAAATAAAACAGCAAGGCTTCATCGTAGCAACACTTTTCCGCAGAACGCTTTTTCTAGTGTTTTCCTCCCTTGGTTCATAAGGTTTAGTTGTTGCGCAGTGTAATTGTACTCGACTAAAATGAGCATTGTTGATGAAGCGAATATCACCATCAACAAATGCTTACAAAACAACATCCAAAAAGGCCTACGAGGCCAAGTTCAAAATGAGTCGATGGGAGAAAAAATCAAAACTGCTTTGATAGTTAGCCAAGAAATGTCTCACATTGTTCTAGATGCTCATCACTCAAATTCGGCTCTCCATATGCATGATAAGGCAGTAGCCGTTGCAGTACATCGCGAAGATCAGCAAATGGGGTTTCAGTGTCAGGATTAGCGAGAGTTGTGTGTAAACTATCAAAGTAGTTCCGCAGCCTGCAAGACTTAGAGCCATCGTTTCACACAAACGACAAAATCATAAAATTTAAAATGATACACTAGATAGAAAGAGGGACTCACCGACTCAATCGACTTGCTCGCTTTTTCTTCTAAACGCTTAGCAGCTTGTGCCGGGGAGGCACGATGAGCGACTACCACCTACAAACAACGTGAGCTTACAAGTAGCAATTAAAATGGGAAAGCAGAACACATCATATGCTTTCTAACGTGCGAATAAATCCAACATATTGAACACGTTATATATTGAAGACTCCACCACCTGAGGAGTTGGTTGAACCGGTGGCGCGCAAGCACAATTTGAGCAGGAAGAGGTGACTGCTGCACAATTTGGAGCGAATTTGAGCACCAGTAACGGACTGACTACCAGTGGCTACCACAACTTGTGGAGCTGCAGCTACCTGCTGGACAATCACCTGTTGAGCTCCAGAAACATGCCGCAACTGAAAGTAATTTGTATTAAAAAAACAGTAAAGCCTATGTCTGTAGCGGACTGGTAAGCGCATTCAGGGGAGAAAATTATAATCAGTGACGCTTTGCAAAATCCGGAGAGGATGGAGTGCGGGGTGTAACCTACAGCATAGGAGAAAAAATCCCAAAGGAGGATATGGTTAAACGTAAATACAAGCAAGACTAAAGAACAAAAAATTGAATCAAACAACTGTAAATAATAGCAAGGATAATAATGCCTACAGACAATAAGCTACCTTTTAAAGATTCGTACCTGATGCTGTTGCCGAACCACTTCCTACTGTTGGCTGAGAAGATGTGAATTGGGCTTGCGCTGCTTGTGGAACGTTCTGCACATATACAGTGCCGGGTGGCAGTTGCGGCGGTGGATGATACACAGTGGTAGTTGCAGTTTGAGCCTGAAACATCACACTTGTCTTGTTCACATGATGTCAAAAGTAACTTTTTGTAATGGAGGCTTTTACCCTATACGTCCGCTGTTGGTTTTGCTGGCGACCACAAACCTGCTCCTGCTGATGAACAATTTGAGTCTGATTAGCATTACCAGTAGAGTACTCTTGGAATCTAAATGCGAAACACAGAATTATACAATCATTGAAAGAACTGATTAACTCCATTTTCGTGTTCTAGCACTACAGTAGATCAGGATCAAGAGAAGAACTGCAAAAGGGGAGGGATGTGATCGAGTGTTTTCATGCAACGAAAGAACAAACTTACTGCGCCGTGCTTGTGCTTGGGAATTGGTTATGACTGGCCAGGTACATCTGAGGTTGATATTGTGGTGACTCGTGACCAGTCTCGAAATGTGTCTGCCGGCTGGCATGACTTCCTCGAGAGCGGGGTGTTGATCGCGGTTGTGGAGTAGGAGCAGCAGCGGCAGCAACCTGCTTCACTTGACTCAACACGGTCTCGCCAACGCTAAAAAGAACTGACCGTTAACGGCAGTACAAGTGATAATTGAGAGAACACGCATACGCCGTCTTCTTCATAATTCATACTACTCTGCGCTTAATCATGCGCACTTAGGACTCTGAGCTGTTTACAACTGCAGTGAATGATCGATCCAATTAATCTCGCCAACTTCTAATTACTCATCTGCCTCAATTGTAAATTTGTCAAAACACTGAATAAGAGGGTCTAAAATTCGTCTGCACAGATTCGTCTCCTTTTGAAGCCGCGTTAAGAGCGTATAAGGAACCGAAGACAACTTTTGGCATGCCCCAGAAATTTCACGTTTTCAATCCATGGTCGTTCAATGAAAACATCTCCTTCTGAAATCTACCGCTTCGATCGTAAGAACAATTATCACCAAGGATAGCCGGCCGCATTCTGCCCTTTTTCGTAGCATTTCCTATCCAATCAAGGCCATCGAAGGCTTCGCGCGCGCCTACCGCTGTGATCAATTACCAGGTGGCGCAGCCGCGTCGACTCGTTCAAGAGAAATGACGAAAGGGCAACCTTCCGTGCGATTTTGTGGCTTAGCGATGGAAGTACTTGCAACAAAAAACGCAAAAACATAGCATTTGTGGTCAACAATACCTCATCATGGACCAGTCTCCTTCTATTACTACAAAAGGAAGAAAATGGTTGAAAATCTCACTTTTGAGAGCTGAGAGCCTCGTATAAAATACTCGCTCTCTGAGCCTGTAATTCGCTGAGCCTTTGTGAATTGTTGATTCCGAGCTTTTCTTGTTGCTCTTGCAAGTTGAGCCATTTCTGCACCGATCTCAGTGATCTGAACATCGAACATAAGCCAACAACAGAAGAAAGATCTGAATGGAATTTTGGCCGACAAAAAAGCTAACCCGTGTCAATGCAGACATACTGAAGCGAACTTCTGTTTGATTCGTACTGTTCGCTGATGAGTCGACTTTCGAAGACTTATTCGCTCCAGAATGAGAATTCACTGAAAATTCCAGCTTGGCGATCAATTAGGTGCTGTCAAGGAAAGAACTCAAACATTATCGTTCTGCATTGTTAGGAAAACACACATGGCAAGCAAAAAAACGAATCTTTTCCCCTATAAAATGAATCACACGAATAGAGGAAAACATCCCCAAAAGTCTAAAATCTCGCACTTATCAAGAAAGGAATGCGACTCCGTATATGCTGGCTCAGGAAGTACAGCATGACTAAATGTTGAGAAATTTCGCGCCACTAATCTTTTAGAGAGAAAAACGCAGCAGCCAGCGTCACGGTTTACGAATGGAACAAATTTAACTACCTTATCTTTCCACTACAACTATAATATTGCCCATAGTTTATTAAAGCAAGGAAAAACGCCGAATTAATAACTTGATATTAAAGAATTCAGTTCTAATAAAGAGTCGTGACAAAACATTTTGAACACAGCTACGCTAAAACTACTTACCAGACCCTCTCTTTCGTCCATTATTCTGGAACACTAGCTTCGGTTGACAGAGGACGCCTGACAAACGCTTATGTTGAGTGCGTACGGGTTTGCCTTTGTGGACGGAGTGCTAAGGTATTTGTTGAACTCATGTGAACCGAGTGCTATGCTCTGCCCTCTCGGATGAGGAGCAGCCTAGGCTGCGGTCGGATGTGAAAGTGACAACATCTATCCTACCCTCGAGGTGGGCATCAGATACAGCGTTGAACAGTCAAATCGGGCATCGCGAAAAAGGATAATGGCTAAAAGCTGTATTTTTGATGCAATTGCCAGTACATCCCATTTGAATTCTGCAAACTTTGGACTGAAGGAGCCAAAGCTCAGAACAAAACTTGAGAGTTGAAATTGTAGAGTCGAAGAAACCACGTCGTCAAAGATTAAAGCGCAAAGGTCTATGGTGAGAAAATCATCGACGAGGCTGAACGCGAGTAAAAACCTGCCTTCTCGAAGTACAAATACAAAAGATAAATGTGTGGATGAATTCCGAAAAAGAAGTGATGTTAATTAATGCACAAAATTTCATTTCAAATGCATATGTGATATTTACTGACTTACAGTGTAACTGTTGTAGGCAGTCCACTCGCGCATTCATAAAACTATGGATTCATATCTGTGGCTGAATATAAGGGAGAGCATTGGAAGCTCACATTCGCATTAAAATACAGGTAGCTCGATACTGGTATACGCATTATCGTGCCCACCACTGTAAATGATGCAACGAAGAGCGAATTAAAAAGGTAGAAAGTGAGAAAAAAGAAAACGAAGAAGGAGAGAAATGAGGAAAAAGAAAACGAACAAAGTAGTACCTGAAAATATCCTTGTTGAGGTTGATAACTTGCTGCTCCATTGTTTGATAATGACCGTTCACAACTACTGAAGGCTGTTCAAAAGAGTTATAAGACTCCTCCTAAAGTACCAACATAACGTGACCAACATTTAAAACAAACAATCTGCTACGGTATCCCTTTCGAATTCCTATTTAGAACATTTTCAAAGTTTTCTCTAATACCATTGGTCTGAAAGACTATAGGAGGCAAATGATAAGCCAAGGCTGAGACAAGCCGTTGTAACCCGTAAAAGTAATTGGTCATAGATAGACAATGAAAGTTTTTTACAGATACTACGAGACTGTCATTGAGAAGATCTTTTGTTAATCGCGAATACCGTGCATCACCAAGAAGCACTAGGACATCTCGAGTATGGCACATGTTTATCCGCAGGTGTCAAAGCTCGACGTGACCTGATATGACGACGAAACAGGTGACAACCGGGGTGGGTCATTTCCACTTTGGAACTGTGAAAGAATGAAAGTTTATTTCAAAAAAAGAATGACCAGTAAAAGAACTGATAAAAATCAAAGAAAAAAGTTTGAACAAAAAAGTACCCCGAATTCCCGCATGGGAACCGCGAGAGAATTATCACCAAACGAGAAGTCCATAAGATTTTGTGGGGAGACCGCGATAGGTGAAGGTTCTCGCAGAGGCACCTTGCAAATAGAAAACTCAGAAACAGCGAGAACGGAACATCAGGAAGAATATAACACAAACTGTGCAGCCTAATTAATAAAGGTCCACTAAAAAGTGGATAGAAGAAACAACAAAACAGGAAAGCAAAAAATAAGTAAAGGCGAAAAATATGTTCAGGAGGTAGTTCATACCTGAAGTGAAGTGTCGGCACCGAGGGGACTGGTGCATTTGAATGCATCGTCCAACACGAACCCCGAGCCCAGGCCAAGCCATTCATCCTCCCTACAAATGATAACCTCACCGTTGAAGTTGTTTAAAAATCACAGTTCTTCAGAAAAAAAAAACATTTGAAACAAAAGCATTTGAAATTGCGAAAATTTATTTTGAAGTTATTCATCATCTTACCTAAACAACCATTACAGTACACAAAGATATCTAAGTTTAGTGCTGTTTGGGTGAATTGAATTGATTGTAGTTATTCTTGAATGCAAATGTAACTGATGTACCAACCCGAGAAGAGAAAAAAAAACAATACTGGGCAACCTTTTAACTTTTGCCCGTAAAATAATGCGAATGTAAGTATCCATTATCCCAACAGCCAAACGAAATCAAGATCATTCGACCCAAGCAAAAGTCCATTCTTTCAAAAGTTTCGCCCTTGTTTGGATTACCTGGTCCATCATGAACATAGTTTAGATAGAGCAAAAAGTTTAGAACCACAAAATTTGTAAGGTCTAAGCAAAAGTTAAAGTATGGAACATCATCACACTGAGAAAACATTAATAAAACATTGACGGAATTGTACTGATTCATAGATGGTACGCCAATATAAACAAACCATCACAAAGAAACAATAGTAACCATTGAATAAGATCGATAATGTCAAAAACAGACTCACTCTTGGAAGCTCATTGTGTTTTTGATGAAAGGGCTATGTCATCGTTAACTAGAATAAGCCGACAATGGTGCGATTTAGAGGAGAGTATTGCGTGATCTCAATGTGTTACGTTCCTGAAACTTCCTGTACAGTATCGATAGCAATCTCATTCGTATGTTTCTGCCAAGAATTCGCAATTAATTGCCTCAATAATTAGTAGTGCTACGGGGCCGAAACGCATGCAAATAAACGAATTGATTTCTCCGAGTTAACTATTAGCACGCACCATCCGCTCGACGGCCGCCGCGCATTTGCCATGCGTTGCGGTTCGATGCTTGGCACGGGGCCAGAGCGAGGTGCTTGCGAATCTTAGCATACGGTAGCTGATTTTGGATCAAGAAACTGCCTCAGGTGTTAGAC